AGTTATGTTTTTGATGATTTTCATGCGTTTTGGTATGTTTTTTGAGGTCAGGAAAAAATCCTGACGTGTACGAGATAAACAGGTTGCGGATTTGTGTTCAGCGGGAAAAAATACATGGGAATATTATACTGGCATTCATGGCGCAGAAAAAAAAGTTTTTTTGTGGGCCTGTGTAATTTGGTGTCGAATCGTATAGTAGCGAATAATTTTGTGTCCAATAAATCTGTTCAATAATTTGATGTTCAATCGTAGTGTGGTCAAACGGAACGTCCTACTAAAACTTTTCGGTGATCTTGTACGTTGAGAAAGGTGTCTAGAAAATTCTAAAAGCTATTGCGTTCTGACATTTTCCTTCGTGCGTAGGCGTTCTCATACACTTCTCTACACATTGGTAGTTGTTTCAATAATATATAAAACGTACAAAAGTTTACTTAGTGCTACTTTTTGATATCACTTCTTTTGTAAAACAAGTTTTTAGAAAAAAAATGTTTTGTAGTATATAATATAAAAGTTAAGGAAAAAAGTTAAGGCATAGTCTTACTATTGACACAAGTATGTTATTGTAAATTGTATATAATACATGTTGTGCGTGTACTTGGCGCATGTTCTTACCTTTTTCTTTTTGAAAAGGAAAATTTTTTGAAATATCACATTTTGTAGTATGATATGTTATAGTTTAGAAACTATATCAAGATCAACTAAATTTCAAAACAGTTTATTTTAAAAAAGTTATATTTTCCAAAAAAAAATGTTAATTTTATTCCACTGTGTTGCAAAACATTACGTCGCGAGAAACTTTGTCGGAACGATTAGTACTATCGGAGGTGTTGCCGGTGCAAAACCACTACGCCGCGATGGACTGCTTCGCGCTCACCACGATCGGAGGTATTGTCGAAGTCTGATTTTTCTGTAAAATGTGGTTATTCCGTTTTCTGAATTAATTTTTTACTTCATAAATTTAAAGTATATAGTTTGTAGTTTTTTGTGCCAAGTTTCAAAACAGTTTAGTAAAAAGAGTTATATTGGAGGTAGTGCCAGCGCGAAAAAAATTTATTTACCCGTTTTCTGAATTAATTTTCTATCAAATTTAAAGTATATAGTTTGTAGATATTGTGTGCCAAGTTCCAAAACAGTTTATTAAAAAGTTATATCGGAGGTGTTGCTGGCGCGAATAACGCGAACCACTAGTATGCCTCTTGAGTCTCTCTTTCTCTAACTTACACTTCCTGTCTTTGTCTTATGCCATCTGTTAGCAGGCATACGAACAACGATGACAATGTTTCTAAAACGTATATTTTTTACTTCGAAACTTTAATCGTCGCATATCTCTAAATCAGAAGCACAAACAAAAACGCAAGAATACTTTTTTTTAAAGTTTTATTCTGAATCAATTGAGACTAAAACAAAAGTGATCGGTTTAGTCGTTCTTGAAATATTATCCCGTGAAAATTTCTCCACTTCTCAATTGCGTGAATTTTGTATATAATAAGTATAGATTCGAGCGCGACTTTATTGCGCATAAACTTGGCGCGAAGCACTACCGTGTCTCTTGATTAGTACGGAGTGCATCACATAAATTTCTTGTTCTTTTTCGCGGGTTCTGTTGGAGAGCAGTTTATTAAGAGCTCGTTTTTGTGCTTTTTCCAAGGCGTACGCGAAGTAGTTCTTAAATGACCACTTCTTGTCTACAATCAAGTTCAAGTAGCAAATGTACCGCTAGGACTCTACTCGCTCACTATTACCAAAATGGGATCATTCATGTGAAGCAGAAAATTAAAACTTCTCGCAAATGCTGCTTAGTTAACACAAAATTCGACATTTCAAACACAGTAAAAATCAAGGTTTTTGTATGAAACTCAAAGCGATATAAACTGAATATTATTAGCAGATGTCTAACCTCTCTGAAACTGCCAAAATCAGCTGTCACTATGAACCATTCACAACAGTCAGAGCCATCTTTTGGAAACGGACCGAACTAATTTGTACTCTCAATAAGTCGCTCTAGGTTACTGCATACCCAAACGGCATTTAGCACCGCCGCTTCAAACAAAGTTTACTCCTTTATTTTCTAACGGAGAAAGTGAGACACAGATCAACTACCTTTACAGCACGACTGAGAGAAAGACATAATCTATAGTCCAACAGAGATTTCTGTTTCGCAAGAACTTCTTACTTCCCGTCGGTATAGCAGCCCCGGAACCCCGAAAAATCATGTACGTTAAGTTAGCCCCCCCCTTTAACAATTCACTATAAAATTTATATACAAATTAAGTGCTATTTAGGTGCTAATTAGGTGCCCAATTAAAAACTTTGGTGCTCAAGTCGTTTGGCAGAAAATTAAAATTAAAGTGGGGGGGGGGGCTGAGTTAACGTCAAGCTGGCCCCCCCATATTAAAAAATTATATTTTCAGTAACAAATTCTACATCAAATTAGGTGCTATTTAAGTGCTACTTAGGTGCCCAATTAAAAACTTTGGTGCTCTAGTCGTTTGGCAGAAAATTGACATTAAAGTGGGGGGGGG